CTCCTCCTGCTCCTCCTCCCCTTCCCTCCTCCCCCATCCCTCCTCCCTCCTACTCCCTCCTCGTCCTCCTCCTCCTTTTCCTCCTCCTCCTCCTCCTTCTCCTTCCTCCTCCTTCTGCTCCTTCTCTTCCTTTTCCTGTCAAGTGCAAGTGCTTCGAACGCCGACCGCTCAAGGGCGCTCGGAACGTCATGGACTCACGCCACGTTTTCAAGTGGAAGCGGCAGAAGGGGCCCGACGGCACGACGACGAAGATCATCGGACTGCGCGGAAGAAGTCCACAGCCGTCGCTTTTGACTCGTCCGCGCTCTGCGCTAATATCTCGGACTTCCCCGGTAGGACTGACATTCGCACCGTCGTGGTTGCTATCCAGGCCGCCTGTCGCAATTGCGCAGGACTTGCCGATTCGGACTCGGCGGGGGGAGCAAAAAAGCGTTGACGAGGATCATCCAGTGCAGGATGGCTCGTGAGAGGCTTCCGTGACACGGATGCTGCAGCCTTTCAGGCTTTCGCTGGCGCGGCCAAGCTGGCGTCTCAGCATCTGCTGCCTTCGCAGGCGGCATGTAGGCCCGACCGTGCATCGGAGGGTTTCTCCGAAGGACTTAGGCGACCCGTCCTCCTCCTCCTCCTCCTCCTCCTCCTCCTCCTCCATCTCCTCCTCCCCTCTCCCTCCTCCACCTCCTCCTCCTCCTCCTCGGGTCGCCTACGGCCCCGGGGGAAACCGTGCACCGTGTATACGTGGTCGTCGACGTCGACAACGCGTTCGTTCAAGCGATGACTTACGAGGATACGCGCGAGCTCGAAGGCGAAATGCCTCGCGAGGTTAACTTCACACTGTTCGCCCAGGATTGCAGTCATACTTCGACATGTGCAAGGCCGCGATACACTCAACGAGCACATGGAGTGCATGCGCTGCGTCATGCCCAGGACTGGATGCAAGGGCGTGCCCAGAGCATTCTCCATGAAACTCGCCAGGGAGACCAGGTTATAGGAATGCAGCGCTAAGCCCACGGCGGGACCCAGAGCTGGAGGTGAAGCACGAGGTGACTGGTGGCGCGGCCATCAGTACCTCCAGCTTGGAGTTGGTGCTGATGCTTAGCAAGCGAGTGGGAGACCTGAAGGTCGCTGGGCGAAACAAGTGCGCCGACCTACGGGTGACCCAAATCGAGCTGGTGTTCGGCAACGTGAAGGGAGGCTACGAGACCACGAATCGTGGCGTTCGCCAGCAGCGTGGGGTCGACAGTTCGGTGCGATGGACCGGGACGAGTACATCGACGCGCTCATCCTCATCCTCTTCTTCCTCCTCCTCCTCCTCCTCATCATCATCATCACCATCGTCATCATCATCGTCATCATCATCATCGTCATCAGCATCATAAACACCATCACCGTCATCATCATCATCATCATCATCATCATCATCATCATCATCATCATCATCATCATCATCATCATCATCATCATCATCATCATCACCGTCATCACCACCATCGTCATCGTCACCATCGTCGTCATCCTCCTCATCATCGTCATCATCATCATCATCGTCATCATCGCCATCGACATCATCAGCATCATTACCATTGTCATCATCATCATCGTCATCATCATCAACAACAACAACAAACACGTAGACCTTTTGGAAACGAAGGTGCGTCAGTCAGCGGACGGTTCATTGTCAGGTCTCTGCGTAAAAGTGCTGGGGGTAGCTGCTAACGCACTGCTCACCCAGATGGCACCTGGCTCTACGCACCGTCGTCTTGCAAAGGGCCTAGAACAAATTGTTCATTTGACATGCGATGCAGCTCAGCAGCGTGGTTCTGGCAATGCGGGCGATCAAGGTCGGCGTCAACTCCCTGGCCATGGAGAGCGTCGGGCGGCCGACCGTTCACAGCGATGGCTTTTTCAAGCGTGAGGAGGTGACAGGATGCGGAACGAGAGCAGCAGCATACGTGAGGAGGGGACGCAGCCGCCAGAGTTGCAAGGAGATCTGCCTCTTGTTGGACTCGGTGGCCCGGTCACACAAGCTGGAGTTTCGGCTCGGAGTTGCTGGCCGCTTGTGCGACCGCCAACGAACTGCAGGCCTTCCTGCTGGCACTCCGCGAGACGAAGGGCGGTCCATCTCCGGCGAGACCTGGGGGCTTAGAGGGGAAGGCGGATCTGAAGTACCAGCCGATGGAATAATCCACGGCATGTCCGTGTTTTCCGCGCAGCAGATGGACCCGGTCAATCCGCCGTCCCAAAACAGCATGGCCGGGGACATCTGTGGTGGCGCGCTGGCCAGCTTCGAACGATGCAGATCGACGGCCTGCTGTGGTGCGGTATGTGGGATATGTGAGCCGACCCGATGACAAAGGCAGCGTATCCCGGAACCTCGTCCTGGACGTGATTGCTGGCGGGCAGGTTCGTTTACGTCGGCAGTGCGGCGAGGTGCAGTGAGGAGAAGCGGAAGGGAATACAAGCCCAGTTCCAAGCACTCGCACTGGATCGAAGATTGGGTCCCAGTGGTGCCGGTAGCGTGGTAGCTGGGCCGCTCATCTTTTGCTTGCCGCTCCCGGGATTGACGAAGTCGGCATCTCGCGAGACCTTGTTGCACTGTTGCATTGTTGTTTCGTAACGAGGCGCAGGTTTAGTCGGCATGTTGAGGGCGAAAGCGTGGTTTACCTAAGCAGCGCGTGTAGGTATTCCTTCCGCCAGGTGGTACTGAACAAGCTTTTGCGGTTGGTGCGCCTGGGAAACCAGGGAATGTGCCGACGGGTGGCACGTGCGCTGTGCCAGAGTTTGCTCCACGGGTTGGCGCCGCCATTTCGGCTTCCCCTGGGTCCTGGCGTTCCCATGGTGCGCGATTAGATCCACCGCGATCCGACCATGATTCTTTGCCAACGCGCCTTGCCAAACCATCGTATCGTCCCAGGCCATCACCTACCTGCTCTTCCTTCCTCCTCCTCTTTTCCCGCTCCCCAATCCCTCCTTCCCCTGAGCGAGGAGTGAGGTGACGGAGGAACGAGAGTGAGGAGGTGGTAGTCGGCGGCGAGCGAAGGGGGGAATAGGAGAAGGAGAAGGCCTTCTCAAAGGCGGTGGGACTTCTCAGAAACCCGCGCGCCTTTTTAACTGTTTTTTTGGTCTTCGGGGAAGGCTTAGAAAACCGCTCAGAAGGCCAGGGGACTTCCGAACCTCCTGAGAAGGCCTCCTCCTTCTCACTTCCCCCCCTCGCTCGCCGCCGAGGATGCATGACGCGGGGGGGTGGGGGAGGGTGACGGAGGAGGGGGGAGCAGGAACAGGAATAGGAGTCCAGCTGGCAAGCTCGAGTGAGCCAGCGGGCTCCGGCAAACTTCACCCAGAGCCTCAGCGTCATTGCTGGCGCCACTGAGTGACGGGATTGGCGCGCAAACTCCCGCTTGCCGAGCGGAAGGCGCTCGCGCGCGCGGGCCCGCTTCCAGCAGACTTGCGAGATCTCTTCACGGGCGGGAGCGGCAGAGTCAAGCAGCTCAGTGCGCGGCGCTTCGGCGCGAGCACCGTTTAGCAGTCAGATCTGTCGCGCGCACCTGCACCCATCGGGCATCCGAAGAAAGAATGCGCCAGTTATCCTGGACTCCAGCTTTCGTTTGAGAAAGCCAAGAGTCTGGACTGGGCCCTGGGCATTTTCTTGGAGCTTCGTATGTCCGTAGAGCTTTCATGCACCTGGACCTGGGCAAGGCTTGGAGCGAAGTCCGCTTTCTTAGCGTCACGTGTTCTGAACTCTAAGCAGGGGTATACGTCTCCGATGGGCTGGCCAATGCAGACGTATGCGCCGCTTCCGAGCAGGACGGCATCTGCGTGGTGCTCGGGCGAGAGCAGCATTTTGCCCGCGGGCGCGCGACCCTGTCGCCGACGAGTTGGCGAGCAGAACATGTGCGTCGCGCCCAGGCAGGAGCGTAACTTTCAGAACAGACTTTGTGCGGCGATTGGGCGAGAACAGCATTTCGCGTTACTGCGCGCCAGGTGCACCGCCAGGTACGCCGCGTCCTGTTACTGTGGCGTATTCTGTAAATTTCGACGGCAAAGCGGCAAAGCAATAAGCTATAGGCGTACGTTGAACTGCCTTTTCGATGGTAGCCTTGGAGGGCCCTCATCTGCCTTCTATCTGCCGGCCATGTGGCATGTTGGACGTAACATACGAAACAATGAACATGTATAGGAGGAATGAGAGGAGTTGACAGGAGGGTGACCATGATGCGATGATTATAATATGATGGTGGTCTGATGATGATGATGGTGGTGATGACGATGCTGCTGCTGATGATGATGATGATGGTGCTGATGATGATGTTCATGGTGATTCTGATGATGATGGTGATGGTGATGATGCTGATGCTGCTGATGATGATGCTGCTGATGATGAGGATGGGGATGAGGATGTTGATGATAATGATGAGGAGGAAGAAGAAGAGGAGAAGGAGGAGGAGGAGGAGGGCCCTTCGACCACGTTGCCTCGCCTCAGGCGACGCCGGGGGGAAACAGGGCTGATCCTTGGCTTTCCCCCTCCTGTATTGGCAGCCAGTTCCAAGAACGGAAGGCCACCCTCCCCGTATGTGCCTCTCCTCAGAACTGTCTGAAGAGGCCCCGCGCCCACGCGACCAGTCTTTCTCAGGGCCTCTTCATCGAGAGGTCAGAGGATTGACCATCCCTCCTCGGCGGAAGCTGGCGGAAGGTCCGCGGAAGCCCACCAAGATTAGGGATTGGCAGTTCCGCAGGTGCAAGCTGTTGAAGGCTCACGGAATGCGGCGGAAGCAGAGGCGGAACACCAAGACAGGTGATCGCCTGAGTCCCCCGGGTTTCCGGAGCCTGCCGATGCGGATGGCCTGTCCGAGTATCGCGCGCACTCGCGTCTGCTGTGCCGAGGCTCGATCGCCTCGCTCGCGAGAAACGTGCGATGCATGTCGCCCAGGCCGAGCGGGGCCGTTGCTGCCGAGGCCCCGTACGCAGCCCTCGAGTACATTCCCGGTCAGACTCTGCACAGCGCCATGGGCTGGGGCCGCGACCCGGGGCAAAAGCCGCCGCTGGACGCCCAGGACACTCTTTGCCTTTGCGGCGGGGGCTCCACCATGAGGGGTTACGTATCGGAGGTTGATAGAGAACCCCCACCCTGCCAAGTCGATTGGCGAATTGCCCCTGTCCGAGTCCTGAGAGCTTGTTGCGGCCGCTGCGTGTGCGAATCTTCGCCCGCTGGGTCTGTTTCCAAGGCGTCTTCACTAAAGAGTGTTTTACTAAAGGGGTTCTGTCCACTTCCGATCCGTGTGGTTTTTTGCCTCCTCATTGCAGCGCTCCGTTGTTGGTCATCCATGGGCCAGCGATGGTCCCAGTCTGGTGTGTTGGTGGGTGTTTTCCCCTCCGTCATGCGAAGCCCCTGCAGGGGAAATGTTGCAACAAGTGCTCACACATGGTCCCAACATTACTCGAACCCTCAGCCCAGATCTGTTTAGCATTAGCGGCAGATTGTTCCCAGTAGTTGACAGAACGTGGATGCTTCAGGGGCTCGTCGACGTTTAGAGGACAGCCGTTTGCTCTTGGGGCCGTCTTGACGCCGCCTGGGGCCTTTTGCGGCCGTCTTGGAGGCAGCTGTTTCCACCACGGGGCCTGTGGGCCGTCTCTCGGCCATCTCGTGGGCTTTTCGAGAGCTTCTTTGGGCCATTCCAAGCATTCCCACGTGCTCTGGCTGGGGCCCACTTGGGGCAGAATAAAGCCTAACTGCTCAAATCACTTGGAAAGTCGATGCCAACGCGCGGCACCCCAATTAGTTGATTCTTGTAGCAGTGTGTGTGTGTGTGTGTGTGTGTGTGTGTGGTCCTAATTGGGTGGCGCCCTCTGAGCGTGAGGCCCCACGTGTGTGGAAGCCTTGGAGGGCCGTAGGAGGCCACAGGAGGCCAAGCCACAGGAGTCCAAGCGGTCACAGCGGGAACGTCTGGCAGGCAGGGTCCGTGGGGCGAAAAGCCATCGGAGGCCACAGGAGGCCACGACGCAGCAGGCCACGCAACCACAGCGGCCAAGTGCGTCGCACAGGTCCAGTGGGATGGGAAGCTACAGAGATCCAATAGGACACGGCATGGGAGGCCACACGAGGCCAAGCATCAACCCGAAAACGTGGGAACCACAGGAGGCCAAACGATGGGAGGCCATAGGAGGCCATGCAGGCATTCTCATTTTTGCACGCAGCTCCAGGTCCTCACAACGCAAGTTAGAACCCCTTAGTGCAAACATTGTGTGGGAACGTTATAGGCGCACGAACAGCGTACTGTTCGCGAAATATATTATAACTCAGCATCCGCATCATCGCCGCAGCACCACATTGGATTCCATCTATGGGGCTCCACTCAGCAAGGACCGCGGGCAGCATACAGGGCAAAATGCATCCGTTCACCAGAGTCTACGTACATGACCCGAAGCAGCAGCTCATATAAGTGCAGTCGGCATCGAATGGGTCAAACCGTTGTTTTTTTGCTGAGAACTGTTGCAGCCGCGAGCTTGGCTCATGGTCGCATTACGCCAAAGCATTTCATATAAATGGCCTCGCAGGAGCGGGCGGCGATTCTGCGTCAGTGCACAGAGGCTGTGGCGTACCTGGCTTCTTTCGACCTCATCCACAGAGACATCAGGATCGTTACTCTTTACTTAACAGCAAGAAGAGCGGTCCCCCTTGTATCCAGTTGATGGAGAGTGTGCTCGCCCTGCTGACCTCTTAGCATTGGTTCACGTGGCCAGAGGGGAGAATACAAACGACTGGTTCCGCTATGGGCCCCGGAATCCCCTGGCACCATTGCTGTCTCGTCACGGTGGGCTCTTTGCGTGGAAGGGATTTCTTGGGTTTCCCAGTAGACGGGTGCACTGTTCTTGTACCGAAATGCGTCCACGTAACGTAACGTTGTTTATTTTGTTTATGTCATGTGAGAACCCATATTGCAATCCCCCCGCGGGCTCTTGGTCACGACTGGCAGCCACCAGCTTTTCCTGACCAGCCCGGTGTTACGTCTTCGTTTTCAGTACCACTCGGCGAACTTATGTCCTGTCGCTCAATGAGTCCCCTTACCTCCTATCTCACCTGGCAACTCCCCCGAGTTCCAACGTCGCGAAAACAATCACAACGTCGCACAACGATCCAGATAAGTTGTTTCGATCCAAGTATCATGCTGGAATTCGTGAGCTGAATGCATCCCTGAGGGTCACATGGCTCGAAGCGGGGCCGAAGAGCCCGTCTTATTTTTGTCACAACCGAAGGTCCCGCAAGGCCCATCTCTTGCGGGATCGCACAAACATTAGAGACGCTTCGCGTAACCCCACCAGACAATCTAGAAACAATGCTCATGTGAGTTGTCTGGATCAGGGATCTGGATGAGCATGCAGTGTAATCAAGGGCTGCGGAAGCGGTCATACTCCAAGAGGGAGAGGATGGAGGAGGAGTCGGAGAAGGAATCGGAGGAGAGGAGGAGGAGGAGGAGGAGGAGGAAGAGGAGGAGGAGGAGGAGGAGGAGGAAGAGGAGGAGGAGTAGGAGGAGAAGGAGGAGAAGAAGGAGGAGTAGGATGAGGAGGAGGCGGAGGAGGCGGAGGAGGAGGAGGAGGAGAAGGAGGAGGAGGGTGAGCAGGAAGGCCAGACGCCTTTTGGATGCCCCTCGGAGTCTGTTCGGATTTCTCTTAGTGTCTTCTTGGTGTCCTCCGTGGGCGTCGTGGGGGCCTCTTGGCAGTCCTTGGGTGCCCCGGGGGAGCCCCTTGAGGCCTCTTAGTGGTATCTTTGGAGCCTCTTGGGGACATCTTGGGGGCCTCTTGGGGCCTCCTAGGCGGCTTGTGGGGCCCTCTTGGGGCACTCTTGGGCGCCTGGGGGGCAATCTTGGGGCCATCTTGGAGGAGTTCGGTCACAGAAGGGGGGGTCGTCAATGAGCCCCCCCGTCCCAGGATGCCAAAGTTGGTCCAACACCTTAGTAATATCCGTGGTTTTTGCCTTCTAGCCGATGCCATCGGTCGCTCCAATCGGTCGCGGGGCGCACCGGGGCGCACCGTCCAGACTCAGGGGGGGGTAGGGTAAGGGGTCAAGACTCCCTCCCCGCCAGCAAGCCGTCACGCTCACTCCCACCCGCCCTCCCAACACATACGTAGCACCCGAGCCTGGCCCGAGCCGCAGCATATTCAGTAGTCGTTTTTGGATGGGCAGCTACTGGGGGCGAATCCGCCGCCGCCGCCTCCGCCGCCGCCGCCGCCCGCCGCCGCCGCCGCCGCGCCGCCGCCGCCGCCGCTGCTGTCCGCCGCCGCCGCCGCCGCCGCCGTCGCCGCCGCCCGCCGCCGCCGCCGCCGCCGCCGCGCCGCCGCGCGCCGCCGCCGCCGCCCCGCTGCCGAATCGCCGCCGCCGCAGCCCTGCTGCCGCAGCCGCTGCCGCCACCGCCGCCGCGTCCGCCGCCACCGCCGCCGCCGCCGCCGCCGCCGCCGCCGCCCCCGCCGCCGCCGCCGCCACCGCCGCCGCCACAGCCACAGCCGCAGCCGCCGCAGCCGCTGCCCCCGCCGCAGCCGTCAAGTATACCCTGTATTGTTTTTTGATAGGGATGGTGGGGGGAGGCCGCATCGGGTTCGTTGCGCATGCTCCGAATTTGGAGGCAGAGTGTGTTTGGTATTGTTTTTGTACAAGGGATGGTGGGGGGGGGGGCCCGCATTGCCCCTGGTTGGTTCCCAGTCGCCTGGGTGTGTGTGTGTGTGTGTGTATATTAATAGGGAACAGTGATCAAGCTGCCCTCCTGGATATCAGACCGCCTGGCTCACTCCCACGCGCCCCCCTCACCACATCAGTCAGATCCGCGTGCCAGCAGATCGCTTAGGAACGCCACGCATACCGTGCGCGCCACGGGTGCCAGGCGTCCACCAGGCACCATGGAGGCCCAGGCCTGCCAGGCGCGGCACATGCTCCACGTGCGCCAACTGTGTCACGTACTCCAGCCGCGCAGGTGCGCCAGCTACGGGGAACCAAGGGGGACCCCAGGTGCCTGGGGCTCTGGCCCCACGGAGTTGAGGATCTCGAATACACCTGCAGCGAAGTGCCGAGCATTCTGTGAGAAGGGCAGCTCCTCCAGGGAGCGCGACGCATCGACACCGATGGACACATTGTGACGTCTTGAGGAATCGTGAAACAAATGAGAGCTCAGAGAAACAGGACCCTGCGCATGCTCCAAATTTGGAACCAATTTGTATTTTGTATGGCTTTTCGACTGGGATGGTCTGCCTGCGCGCAGCGAGCAACATGCGGCACCCCTGCCGACCCGTTCAGCGCGGTTCTGTCATGCCGTCCCTAGCTCTGTATCGATCTTGGCTAGGTGACGACACATCTATGGCACCGCCACTCCGCATATCTCTTGCGATGTTGACTGGTTGCGACGATCGAACTCCTCTGGCGGACTCGACACATTGTTCTTGATTCGTTGCGCTTGCTATCTGTGCTGTCCGCTGCGACGAACGTTTCACCTGCACACGATACTGATCCAGGACATCCAGATATGGCCCGCCTGTGCAGGCTCCGCCGTGCGCATCCTGCTTGCCGCCTTTCGCTTGGGGAGTTTTCCTTGTCACTCACATTTTACTTTTTCTTTGCTTCCAGTCGTAGTCGGAGTGACGCTCGCATCGCAGTGGCCCATTAGAGGAAGTGCCTTTCTGTGTGCGTGTGAGGGGCAGCAGCTGTCGACGGCGCTTGTAGTTCAACCGGCCCGCACGCACAGTGGAGCATACGCGTGCCACGCCGGTGCATTGTGCTTCATCTTGTGTCCTCGAGGGCCAGTGGCTGACAGCAGGAGTCGCTCTCTTGTGGCCTCGGCCGGCTTGCCACGTACGCGCGACGGGGTGTAGCAAAACCAGTGGCATTCCGAGCCAGGGGCGCGCACTTCACGCTGCGAGTGGAGCCGCTGACGCAGAAGTGCGTGTGTGCGTTTCGGGCTGCACGCGCGCCTTCCCCTCAGTGGGTTGCGCGTCGCCTCTTTTTCACAGGCCTGTCGGGGTC